CTGCCAATAGCAACCTAGGGTAGATGCTTCCTGTTTTACATCCAATCATAAAAAATAAAATAAAAAGCTTTCCTTCAAATCTTTGAATGAAAGTCCTGGGCTTTACTCTGTTTGGACAAACTCAAGTCATATGTTCAACAATGAACCAATCACTGTCACTGAGAATGAGGTGAGATTATGCTGATTGTATTAGGCCAATTACATTCTCTCCCTAGAGGTGGGATTGGGGTGAATCCTACTGTCTTAGTTTCCTAGGGCTACTAACAACAGAGATTTAAAATTTCTTTTAAATTCAAAATTTCTTTTTTTTTTTTTCAATAAAAGTTTACATTTGATGTTTAATAATTTAAAAATTGACAAATATATTTATATTTATGTCAGGATCAGTTGTGTACTCTTACTGTAATGATACTTCAATTCAGTATGATCTTTAACACCTAGAACCTTAGTGTTTTATTTATTTATAATTATTGTGATTGGTTTCCTGTTCAACAATTCATACACATTTTGTTTTGTGACACTGAATTGCAATCAAACAATGCAACAGCATTGTCTCCACTTCTTCCTAGTGGTCACCATTTCTATTCTTCCTTCTTTCCTATTCATTCCTGACTTCTGAGTTTTGTCCCTGGGCAAATACAGCCCTTTGATCTGGTATGGTTGATTGTTGTAAGGAGTACACACATTCCTTGTGTTATTGTTCACCTTACAGGCCTGTCTATTGTTTAGCTATAGGTGTGAGTTCAGTTCCAGGCTTGAAGTGTAACTAAGGACCATGGTCTCAGGTGTTCCACCAATCTTGAACAGACCAGTAAGCTGGTCTTTTTTATGATTTTGAGTTTTGTTCCATGTTTTGTTCCCACTCTATCCAGGACCTCCTATTGTGATCCCTTTCAGCATGGTAAGCAGTGGTAGCCAGGCATTGTCTAGTTCTCCTGGTCTCATGGTCATGGAGGCTGGGGTTTACATGCTCCATTGGTCCTTTGGACTAGTTGTTACCCGCATCTTTGATTTTCTTCACTCATCTTTGCTTTTTACATGTAAGTCTTTGATCTATCCACCTATGGACAGCTGATCTTTGACAAAGCACTGGAAACCATTATGAGAAAGTGATAGTCTCTTTAACAAATGGGCTGACAAAACTGGATATACATTTGCAGAAAAATGAAATAGGATATCCAGAGCTCTCATCATATACAACAAAAACTTATTGTCTTGGTTCATTTAGGTGTTGGCAGGGTAGTGCTCTCACTGAAGGCTCTAGGAAAAGATCCTTCCTTGCGCCTCCCCAGCTCCGGCAATCCTTGATGTTCCGTGGCTTACAGATGCATATATCTCCTTCTTCATACAGTCATCTTCCCCTGTGTCTATGTCTGTGTCTCTTCTCCTCTTTTATACAGACACTTCTTATATTGATTTAGAAGCCAACCTATTCCAAAATCACCTCATGTTAACTCAATAGCTTCATAGATCTTATCACCAAACAAAGTCATATTGACAGATTCCAGGGCTTAAGACTTTGACATCTTCTTTATGGGGACACACTTCAGTCCATAACACCTACCCAAAGTGAATGGTTGCTACATGTTGAGAAATGGGAGAAGTGAATTCAGGGTTGAGCTGCAGCCAGCTCTTAATAGCTTGCGTGAGCTGATTCTGCTCATGTCTTCCCAACTCAGTGTTTACTGAGCTCATTTTGATCTTGAAGTCAGTCATAGTGGGAGTATTTAGACCACAGAAATTAATAAATACAACAAATTAGGTTTTGTGTTTGTTTTGTTTTTGAGAGGTGATTTACTAGTACAACACTGATGATAGACGTTACTCAGCAATGTCCATTACAAGTGGATTTCAGAATCCTGGCTCCACATTCAGTGGGTTCCAATCCCTGTGCAGCTTTGGTGTATTCTGCACTCCTACTTTATCCCAGGTTCCTGGTTCCAGATTCTCTGCTTTACAATTTGAGATCTATTATTTTTTCATTGTTTTATTATCTTTAATTACAAAAAATATACATGCTTCTTGCACAAGTCAAGAGATTTATAAATTTACAAGCAAGGTTTATCTTTTCAAATTCCAGCCTCCCATGTAACCTGTCTTAACAGGCCAAAGTTACTTAACCATTCTTTCTAATTTCACAATTGCTTCCTCCCCTCCATTCCTTTTTTTTAGGGCAGCTTTATTGAGATGTAATTCACATACCATAAAACCTACCCTTTTAAAGTGTATAATTCAATGGTTTTTAGTATATTCACAGAGTTATGCAACCATCACCACTATTTAATTTCAGAACGTAATTTTTCCCAAAAGAAACCTCATACCTATTAGCAATCATTCCCCATTTTCTCCTTCCCCATCCCCTGGCAACCACTAATCTACTTCCTGTTTTGGTGGATTTGCCTATTCTGGACCATTCATATAAATGGAATGATACAGTATTTGATATGGCCTTTTGATTCCTCTTCTTTTACTTAGCATAATGTTTTCAAGGTTATCGATGTTGTGACATGTATCAATATTTCATTTCTTTTTAGAACATCTATATAATGGAATATTCTGCCAAATTTTGTTTATCCATACGTCCATTGATGAACATAAGGGTTTTCAAGATCTTAATCAAATCACAATTCTGGAATTTAACACTTTTTGCCACTAGTCTTTAATATCTTTTGCTGCCAGAATTATTTTCCTAAAATAATCTTGTCATTCACCTCAAAAATCCTCCTCTCTGCCTATGAGTTGCTGAAGGAATGGGCTGACATGGCATCCCATACACAGCCCTCTTTGCTTCGACCACAGCTGAAAAGGAATGAGAAAATCCTGCCTCCCTATGAAGGGGAAGTTTGGGCCAGTGGTTCTCAAATTCATTTAACAGATCTCTATCCAACCCAAAATAAGACAAAATGAAGAAACAGACCCCAAAAACAAAAAACAGAAGCCTAACCTAAGAAAAGGAGCTCTGGTAGTGTAGTGCCTAAAGACACTTGACTGTTAACCAGAAGGCTGGTGGTTCAAACCCACCAGCCACTCCTCGGAAGGAAGATGAGGCAATCTACTCAGTACTGATACTGCCTCAGAAACCCAATGAGGGGTTGCTATGAGTTGGGTCCGACTCAACGGCACATAACAACAACAACAACTTAAAGAACAGTGTCACAAATATTATGTAGCTTTGGAGTTTTACTGTTTACACTTCCTTTCATCTCTTAATTAAGAGTTTAGAAGGATCCTGGGGGATGATGAGTTTTGCAATCAGGCAGACCTAGTTGGAAATCCTGGCTTAGTCACTTACTATTGGCATTATTTAAATTCTCTCCTTCTGAGATATTAAGCAAATTACTTCACATTTTCTTATCTGTAAAGCGGGAGCAATAATTCCTACCTCAGAGTCTGTAATAGATAAAAAGATGCAAATAGCCAAGTACTGGGCCCAATCCATAATAGGCATTCAATTAATGGTAGACGTGATAATGATTGTTACAGTTGAACATAAGGTTAAACTTTGCAGTTGAAAATAAAGCCAATCTAAGATAAAATTTTGTCTTAGTTAACTAGTGTTGCTATAACAAAAATACCCCAAGTGGTTGGTTTTAACAAACAGAAATTTATTCTCTCAGTTCAGGAGGGTGGAAATCTGAGTTCAGGCTGCTAGCTGCAGGGGAAGGCTTTCTTTCCTTGTCAGCTCTGGGGGAGATCCTTGTCATCAATCTTCCCCTGGGTCTAGGAGTTTCTCAGTGCAGGGACCCTGGGTCCAAAGGATGCATTCTGACCCAGCCAAACAGATACATATTTTGGACTAACACAATTCAATGCATGATGGAACTGTATTGGTGTCCTTTCATTATTTTATAGCTTTGGTGATTAAATTTCAATATTTTCCTAACAACAACAACAAAAAAACCTGCCTGCCGTCAAGTCAAATCCGACTCATAGCGACCCCTTCTTGAGTTTCTGAGGCAGTATCACTATGGAAGTAGATTGATCTATCTTCCTTCCAAGGAGTGGCTGGTAGGTTTGAAACACCAGCCTTCTGGTTAGCAATCAAATGCCTTAGGCACTACGCCACCAGAGCTCCAAATATTGTCCTGTTGTTGTTGTTGTTATGTGCCGTCGAGTCAGCCCTGACTCATAGCGACCCCTCCTTGGGTTTCCGAGGCATTATCACTACGGAAGTAGGATTGCCCAACCTTCCTTCCGAGGAGTGGCTGGTGGGTTTGAACCGCCAGCCTTCTGGTTAGCAGTCAAGTGCCTTAGCCACTATGCTACCAGTGCTTTAAAATTATCATCAATCTGAAGGAGAAATTAGATGATTAGTGAAAAGACTTTATGTTCCTTGTCTATCATCACCTCTGGTGTAATCTGAAATAATCAAGATTGTTACCTAAAAGATTAGAAAATGATCAATGATGGTGTCCTGTTTTGTTATAATAGAAGCTTTTATGAAGTGGCCTAAGGATAAACATCTTAAAGATTATATTGGATTATATAAAGGTAAATTTCTCATAGAAATTTAGGGTTTGGCATTCACTATTGTCCTCGGAAGCATGACTTTTTGGCAGCAATTATGAAAGACATAACCAAAGATATTATTCTTTGGAAGGATTATAACATATTAATTTAAAAAAATGTTAAGTGATAGTTTAATTGTAATTGTTTTAGCCTTATTTAGATGGTCATAAAATTTAAATTGTTCTTTATGTTGTATGATTATGGCTTAGAAAAATTTTGCATGTATGATAACTTATCTTTTTAGTTTTGTAAATAAAATAACCATGAACTAAATTCTCCTTTCAGGATTAAATATACTTACAAATGCAGTAACCATGGTTTTCCCTGAGGCATTTGTTATATACAGGGATTAAGTTAATTAACTGTTTGAAAATTAACCTTTGATTATAATAAAATTATTACATTAAAGATCAACTTTTACAGATCAATCCTTATTTTTTTCCCACATATTTCAATCATTCAATATTATTTCTCTTTTTTTTCTTCCATAGGATTATCCCTGTGAAGATTATTCAATAGTGCACAGAAAATGCCGTTCTCAGTTCACAGATCTAGATGGTTCCAAAAGATTTGGCATCAACCATTGGCATGATGAGAGTGGGATTTATGCTAATTCAGATGTAAAAAGAAAACTCTACCCAATAACTGATGGTCCTATTGTCCCATTTTTAAAATAACGTACGGAGTCAGATTCTCTGTTTCTAGTGACGAAATAATGGATGTAACAGCTGATGATTTTCTACCTAATAAATACAATGAAAATGTTAGTATAATAGATCCCTTTAAGCACAAAACCTTATATTCTAGACAAATGTGTGTATCTTCATTCCATCAAGCTATTCCAGTGTTTTCTAAAATCTAGTATATGTACCAATGAGGTATACACTTCTAAATGGTACTTGGCAACTTGTATTTTCTTTTAAGGACTGTGCATTTATTTTAATTTCTATTAGGAAAAAAAAATGCAAACAAACAATCAAAAAAACCTAGCACAAACTTGTGGATTGCTTAGAATTTGCCTTGAAAAAAGTGAACTAACCATTTAAAGGCAAGCTTGAAGTGAAGAAAAATATAGGTGGTACTCAGATGTGACAAAAAAAAAATTTAATTCAGATAACATTGGCCATATTATAGTATTGAATTGTGTTTTTGTAGGCTGTGTATTTCTATTTCCAGACTTTGAGCTATCTATGGTTGCTAGCTGTCCTGTGGATCATGGATTCAGCATGGTGTTTTTCTTTTTTCAAATATACAGGTAGCAGAGATGCAAACAGAATATTAGTAAAAGTTCAGGAGTTTGGTGTAAAAATCCAAAATCATCTAGTGTTAGATTTGGAAGGAAACTTAGCAATTATTTTGACTCACTCTCTCATTCTACAGATGAGCAAACAGGTTTAAGCAGGTAGCCAGGGTTACAAAGATAACAGATTCTAGTTGATCTTTTAGGTACATTTGAACTTTTACTTCTGAGGATGGTTTTAATTATTTAGTCAGCCTAGGCTTAACTTATTCTCATTATTTCTTTTTGAAAAATGATTTCATGATAATTTTATTTGAGTACTGCCTCTAAGCACTGATTAGCAATATATGGGAAAAATATAAGTTTTATGTGGGGAGAAATAATAAAGAAATGTGGATATGCTGAGTAAACTTACTTTCACTAGCAGTTTTACTATACTTTCTTGCTGCTTTAAAGTATGTGTGTCTGTACACACACAAATGTGTATATTATATATATGTGTGCATGTATACATAGATACATACACACATAGATACATATTGTATATACATAAATATGTACTCTATCTATAATGTTAATTCCTTATATATTGCCTATTTTAATGGATATCTACCTAGAGTTACTTTTCCTTCCACAAACCATAAATTCAAGTTTATTCACTTCTAACACTCATTAGCATATCTGGGGTGGACAGCTGTTTGAAATATGCAAATCCCTATGTCAAGCTACTCATCATTTGATTTTTTTTTTTCTTTTAGAAACAGTCTTAATGGCCACGTCATTATCACTGAACAATACATTATACCTAATAAATAAAAGGAGCTCTGGTAGCGTAGTGCCTAAGGCACTTGACTGCTAACCAGAAGGCTGGCAGTTCAAACCCACCAGCTACTCCTTGGAAGGAAGGTTGGGCAATCTACTTCCATAGTGATATCACCTCGGAAACCCAAGGAGGTGTCACTATGAGTTGGGTCTGACTTGACAGCACAGAACAACAACAACAAATGAAATTAAATGTACCTACTTTAGCAGAAGTTCTCTATTGTCAATAACTAACATCATCTTTTGCATGAATAACCTGAATCTGCCATGAAGGATTAACCTAGAAATCAGTTTTGGTTTTGGTTAAAAGGAAAATGAAATAAGAGAGATTGAATTTAAACTAGTCAGGCTTCAGAGTGCTGAATTTACAGATCTAGGCTCCTATCCCTGGTGGCACAGTGGTTAAGAGCTCAGCTGTTAACCAAAAGTTGGTGGTTTGAACCTACCAGCTGCTCCTCAGGAGACAGATGTGGCAGTCTGCATTTGGCCTTGAAAACCTTATAGGGTAGCTCTACTCTGTCCTATAGTGTCACTATGAGTCAGAGTCAACTTGACTGCAATGAGTAGAGTCAGCTAACAGTTGACTGTCAGCTAACAGAGGCTAGAAACCAACATGTGTGCAGTGCTTTTAATATATTTACAGTGTTTCATCATCTCGATAACTTGATGGAATAGCTGTATTTCTGTGTCTCCCTCTGTCTATCTACCTAACTATCTCACTACCTATCTACCTGTTCATCTATCCATGATCATTACTCCTTCTATTTGGCATTTAGACTTCCAGTTGGTGAAGTAACTTGTTGGAATTAGGACCAAGATCTGAAAACAAGCCCAGTAGTCTTCATTTCTTCACTGTTGAGGCAAGTATGATTTACTTCTTAGTGATTAAGGAAATACTGTCCATTTCCCCTGTGGCTTTCGAGTATTTTGACTTGTGGCCAGTTTGTCAAACTGCCAGTGTTTTCTATGCACTAGATTAAAGTAAAAAGATTTAAGGGTACTATGCACCCAATAAAGGAGCTCTGGTAGCATAGTGCCTAAGGCACTTGACTGCTAAGCAGAAGGCTGGCGGTTCAAACCCACCAGCCACTCCTCAGAAGGAAG